TACTAGAAAAGGAGGTTTCAAAATAGAGGAGTTGCAGCTTACAACATTCATGGGATAGGGGAACGTGCATCGCACAAGTCTCTGTTCGCTGTTTTGCAGTCTCAGCTTGTAGTTCTAATGGAAATGGTGTGGTGTTTCTGTATTAACTGGTCTCAGTAGGGCAGCCATTTTTTGCAACATTTTAGACCTTCTCAAATCTCAATTAAATTTAGCTTTGCAGATACTGTTGACAACTGATCTTTTTGCTTTCACAGACGTTTTTTGGCTGTTTGAAGACTGGAGGGAAGTTATCGTGAGGGAGAAACTATGCTGAAAGAAATAATATTCAGCTTCAGTCTCAAAATTTTTACCAGCTTGCAGTCTGAACCTCTGCTTTGTCTTAAGCATTGCAAGCGCTCAAAACCCATTCCTGCCCAAGTAAATCTCTGTGAAACGTATCAAAAGTTTCACATCTCTGTCTGGAAGAGAGGATGTTCCCACTGTGGTTATAGTCAAAGAGGCTGATTGTTGAATATGGTCTTGCATGTCTAGCAGGAAGAAGGTTTGAAGAGGTCATAGTTTTCTTTTCAAAACAAATGTGACATGTTGCTTCCCTGCTGTAGTGGAACGGTTTCTAATCTTGTCATTGTGTGTCTTTGGTATTCACATGTCATCTCATTCAGAGGACCCAGGTGTTCTTGAATACAAAGTTTTATTTAAAATGTCAGCCTTGGTAAGGAATCTGTTCCAGCCTGTAGAGATTATAGTCCTCCAACTCGCAGACACCCACAAGAGCCTTAAAAAAAAATAGAAAGAAACCAAGACTGCTTTTATTTTGTTGCATCCTGTGGACAGTACAGTTCTGGAATGCCCTTGTGGACTTGAGTTGAATTACTTCTGTCAGGCAAGAACTTCTGATAAATTAACTAGTCAGGTGAGGTATAAGGGGTCATCAGGAGTAGTCATGCAGTCTGAATAGGTGATCTGATAGAGAGCCTCATGCTTGGAACAGTGCTCAGAACTGGTGTCAGAATTGTCTTATGATAAAGCCTGTGTAAGAAAAGAAAAGCTGTCGCCATTTCCTATGCAGTACAGGTGCAGACTTTGTACTGACTTTGTATTCTGTGATTCACTACAGCCTCTGTAACCTGCTTCGGTCACATTAGACATTTTTTCAGTTTATGTAACCTGGGTCCGTTATGTGTGTTCAGGCATTTGTGTGTTCCACATTTCAGATTACCAGTGAAGCTTTCATCCTGATGCTTGAACTTGCCAAGCCTTTTTCTATGGATGTCCAATATGTCCAATAGCTGCAAGCCTTGCTTTGTGTTCTTGTAGATTAAGAAATCCTGAGAAAAGAAGTAATCGTCACTCAGCCGTCTGTTTAAAATCTACTGGAGTTGGTGAGAAAGTTGCGTCAGTGATTTGATCAAGCTTGACTTCAAATAAATGGTTCCTTAAACTTGAGAAAGTTAGTGCTTCATTTTCATTCATGTCATGGAGTAGTTTTGCAGGTGAATGTGTCCAGTGACTAGTTTATCAGATAATATGCCTGACACCGCTTTTGGGATACCTGTGGGTAAAAACTTACATAGTGTTAGTGATTCGTTGTTATAACAGATGGAAGGAATGCTATACAGAGGGACCTGGGCAGGCTTGAAAAGTGGGCCCACAGGAACCTAATGAGGTTCAGCAAGGCCAAGTGCAAGGTTGTGTATTTGGGTCGGGGCAATCCCAGGTATCTGTACAGACTGGGAGAAGAATTCATTGAGAGCAGCCCTGCTGAGAAGGACTGGGGAGTCCTGGTGGACAAGAAGCTTGACATGGGCCAGCAGTGTGTGACTGCAGCCTGGAAAGACAACTGTACCCTGGGCTGCATCAAAAGATGGGTGGCGAGCAGGGTGAGGGAGGTGATTGTCCCCCTCTACTCTCCCCATCTGGAGCATTGTGTCCAGGCCTGGAGCCCCTGACGCAAGAACGATGTGGAGCTGTTGGAGCGGGTCCAGAGGAGAGCCATGAAGATGATCAGAGGGCTGGAGCGCCTCTCTTATGAAGACAGGTTTAGGGAACTGGGCTTGTTTAGCTTGGAAAAGAGAAGGCTCTGGGGAGATCTCATTGTGGCCTTCCAGTACTTGAAGGGAGCTTATAAACAGGAGGGAGAAGGACCTTTTACATGGGCAGATAGTGATAGGACAAGGGGAAATGGTTTTAAACTAAGAGAGGGGAGATTTAAGTTAGATATTAGGAGGGAATTTTTCAGCCAGAGGGTGGTGAGGCACTGGAGCAGGTGAACCAGAGAAGCTGCGGGTGCCCCATCCCTGGAGGCATTCAAGGCCAGGTTGCACTGGGCCCTGGGCAACCCTGTCCACAGCAGGGAGGTTGGAACTAGATGATCTTTAAGGTCCTTTCCAACCCGAACTATTCTGTGGTTCCCTTTTCAATATACCGTGAGGGAAGTACACCATTAAGAGGCTGTGGGCACTTTGCATTTATGCTGGGCACTGCATTCCTTTTTTGCTGTGTGGCATGCTAATTTATATTGGAAAAGTTCCATTAACTTCTCATTTAGATACAGTATATTTGGTCTCCAGATGTTGCTGGCATCTGGTTTGTTGTTTTCATTGGCAAATACCTTGCAGCAAGTGTTACAGTGGGAATGCTTATAACATGGGTAACATGAGTACTCATTTTATAAGCAAACCCCTCTCCATTTATTTCTGGGTGTATTTCATGACAGCCTTTATTTTCCTCTCCTATTTTCCCTTTTTTTTTTTTTTTCCTTTTAAACATCATCCTTTGTTCGTGCTCCTGCTGGACTGCAGTTCATCTTTTTTGTTATTATTAGTCCTCAGGTGCATGCAACTGAACATGGGGTCAGTTGATGGCTGATGAGAATCCTTGCAAGATTGCAAATGAGCAGACAGAAAAGAAATGGAAATGTAACTGCTTTTTCTTCTCTCTGTCTTGTGAGCACAGAGCTTCTCAGTGAGGGAGGGTCAGCAGCCCCCAGGTTCTGCTTCTAATGCTTTCAGATTTTTTTTAAGCATTCTACTATAAAAATTACTAAAGTAATTGTAAGCTGTAGCATATCTCTTCTCCCTGTCATGCAAAGGTGATGGTGATTGGGAGTCAGGCCTTAAAAAGTGGTGAAGTTTGTCATTTTATGAAATTATACTGAGTTTCTGTTCCTCTCTTCTCTCTTGTTTTGTCACTTTCCTTGCTCTGCATAGGTTGCTCCACTTCTGCTTCAATTTAGCTGAACCTTCAGAGTTGAGCATTAAATGTTAAAACTCTTGGGCAAAATTATACCTGTTTAAAACCCTCCCCTTAAATGCACCAGCTAAGGAACTTGGGAAGACTGGGAAAGGAAATAGTTGAACAAGAAAGGGAAAGTTAGGTAAGGAAGAATTATTTCTGAGAAGGGTGTATGGGAATCCAGAAGGGCAGGTTGTAAAAATAGTGTCAGAAATGTGCTTATTTTTTTTTTTCTTCCTGTGATACTCAGGTTTGTGATAACAAACCCTGATTAAAATGAGTTTTCTTCTATAAGAATCTGTGCAGGCAGAGCTAGCAGTTATTTTTGACCATCAGTCTCAGTGGAGAGAATGCCAACTCAGTTTACCTGGGTACAACAGTCTGTATTTTCCTTGCTTTTCTCAACACTTGCTGTATGAATATGTCAGAGTATATTTGTATATCTTTTTATCTTCCTATTGTTTTCATATTTCAGAAAACCAAAAAACTGTTCCTGTTCTGTGTGTGAAAGAGAGATACTTTTGCTCGTCTCAGCAAAAATGATATAATGATACATTAAAAATATATTCAACTGAAATGAAATGCAGTAAGTGACCAAGAAGTGTTAAAGAGAACACCCCGATAAAGCAAATACTTATTTACATCCCACACGAGTTCCCATGTGCTTAGCATGTGTAGTTCTTAGGCAATAAAGGACATCATTTGGACGTACTGTTTGTTCCTTCTTATGCCGTTTTCGGCTGATTTTCATATTCAGTTTTAGGAATTGGGAAATTTGCTTTTGACTTCTCTGTGTTGAGCAAATGGATATTTTTTTCCCATCAGCTCTTCAAAGTATAATGAAGCATAAGTACAAATGTCTGTCTTGTGTTCACATTAACCTACAGTCAAACAAGCTACGTAATACCTTGGGTTGAAAGTCCCTTTGGGCTCTGTCAGGTCACTTCCCCCAGCAGATGGGTTCTGTCCCTTTTTCTGAGTCTCGGAAACTGTTTCCTCCTCTTTTCTTGCATGCTCCAGGAGGCTGTCCTTCTGAGGAGGCGTCAGCCAGCAGAGTTGGCATGAGGCTAGCCTGTAGGAACTACTCCATCTGGCCTGTTGTACAGTCTGATGTCATGAAGCGGAGTCCCTTCTACATTAGGCACTTGCAGAGTTGGAGTAAATCTGGACTGCAGCAAGCAGTGATCTCGTAAGCAGACCAGTTGATTACTGTCATACCAAGGCAGTTAGATGGTAAACTTTCCAAAGCAGTAGATAGTTTTTGTTTCGTGAGATCTTTTTTTCTTTCTCTGTCACTGGAACGTGTGTCAAATGGGCTATTGAAAGTCTCACCATTGCTTGAGGGGATAGAAGTGCTTACTTGGGGGTTTGATGAGGTGTATTTTTTTGTTTTACTGATTTAAAATAAAGATAAAAATATCAATTACCAGGTGCATTCACTAACCACTGAATGGCATGTGCAGATGGTAATTCCTGAAGACAGGTGGTGTCTGACACTTGCATTTCTGTTTGCAGCTGGGGCAGGATGATTTTGCAGCAAGGAATGGGAGAGAATGTTCAAATAGTCAGAAGGAATAGGTGCTTGGTCTGGGAAAATAAGAGTGATGGAAAAATTCCTGGGTGATATTTGGGCAAGGAGGGAAACAAGATAGGAAAGAGGAGGAAAAAACCCCTAACAAACCAGAGAATACTACTTATTTCTTTCTGTCAAACTATCTGGTATGTGCTCATCTTTCCACACTAGTGAATCCTGTCTTATCATTGTGAAAATGTGATTGCCCTATAAACAAAACTTTTCTTTTAAATGTAAGCACTGCATGAAGTTATTAATCTCTTGTAAATGCTTGAGGCAGCTTAGCATTAGAGAGAGTACTTTTGGGGATTTTTTTGCATACAAATTAATCTGTCAGACTGTCACATTTAAGACTCTTGACAATTCACATCTGACTGATACCACAAATTATGAAGGCCTGGGCTTAGAACTGAATTAAATCAAAGTGATACTTTGTTTTGGAGAGCAGCGTTGTATTAATTTCACTACAGTTGTTGTCCAGCCCCGAGAGTTGTTTTGGTGAAGACCTGGAATAACTCTTGACCTATTAAAGCTCAAAACCAAGATTTACAATCTGCTGAAGCCATTGTATTAGACATGGTCAGGAAAACGTACAGTGGCATCTAAAGAACAAAAATACAGGCTTGTGGCCAAGGAGAAGACATCATGTATAATTCCAGGAGTAGTTTTTAAGTTTTCTGCCTGTAGCTACCAGTCAGAACAATTCTTTAACCTGCTTGGCAGTTCTCTAAGTTTCTTGTCAGCACTGGCTTTCATACTGTGCATTTCTTTTTTCCAAGTGTTTCCCAGATGGATGTGCAGACTTTATTTGGCTCTCTTCCAACCCTTCCCTCACCTGCTGTTGCCTGTGTGTTGCTTTGTTCTGTTTGCTTCCTTAGCAGAGGCATCGTTGAGCTCTCTTTCTGGTTACTACTCTGTTTCGACTGTTCTTGTATATGTAAGGTATACTTTATGAAACTGATCTGAAGCACCTTTCTCCTTTTAATTTTTTTTCTTTTTTCCTTTTTTATGTGGTTATGAGCTAATTGGGAAAAGTGATTGTATGTGACGTGCCACTGATTGTAGTGTGGGCACAGTACTTACGGATGGTGAATTTAATTTCAGTTCACTGGGAATGTGCTGCCAGGATTGTGCACAGCCTGTGATCTCATGGGAGAAATGCTGAGTGACAACTGGGATTTTCCTTTGCTTTCTTGGTTTCCGCATTCCAGGTTTGTTTGGGAGGAGAAGATCATAGAACCATTGGAATTACTTTAATCAGACTGTGGCATTGACCCTGGTAATGGTATTTGTTTGTTGCAGCTGCAGGATACAAGCACCAAAAATAGAAATATTTAGAAAGTCCTCTGGAGCTTTAATTGCAGCGTAGTTAAAGAGTCAGTGCAAATTTTCAGTTGGTTTAACTTGATATTTTTTTTCCTACAAACTTCTGCGAAGTCATATTTTGTCCTTCCTGAGCTGTTGTGACTTTTAATACCAATGTGAGGTTTTTTTGTCTGTGAAGACATATCCCAGGCAATGCAGTGTTTTGGGGTTATTTTAGTAATCTAGGAGAAAATAGGCTGTAGATATTGCTGGGTGGTTTGGTCTGGTTACCTGTTTTGGTTAATACTCGACTCCTCGGTAGTGCTTAACTCTGACAGCTTCAGAAGAAGAAACCTTATGGCAGTTAGACAGTTTTTCTCTATGGAAAAAGTGACTTTAACTTCCTCAGTTAGAAGGGCGTAGTTTACTTATTTCTCTTGTAAGAGCATGAAAGTTTACATGTTCTAGGTTTATTCCCCCCACACCCCCCTTCTTAAGACTGTTTCTATTGGGCAGAAGGCTAACGCAAACATGAGGTGTCTGTGTCCTTGACCTTCCACTGCCATCACTTTTGGATTCGTTTAACTTCACTTCAACCAGATTTGATTGAGAATCAGAAATGACAGTTGTTGCATTTGCACGGGTTTAATAAGAAAATAAAATCATGAGGCAAAAGAGGAGGGCCTGAAGGAATAAATCTTTGGGGGGAAAAACCAAAACATTGTCCTTTAGAATCATAGAATGGTTTGGATTGGAAGGGACCTTAAAGATCATCCAGTTCCAATCCCCCTGCCATCAGCAGGGACACCTTCCACTAGATCAGGTTGCTCAAAGCCTCATCCAGCCTTTAGGGAAGCTAACTCTGTCCTATAGAAATGTCTGATCCTCTTTGACTAGCAGACTGAACCACTGCCTTGTGGCAAACCATTCCATGGACTTTTTGAACATTTTGTGAAGAGTAATATTGATATGGAAATAAAAAACATCATGTGGATTTCCACTGCTTGTAGTTATTCATATTCTCAAAGGAGTGGGATGGGGAAGGGATGAACCAAGGAGGCTGAATATCATTGTGCAGAACTAGACTAATTGTACTTGATGGAAAAGCAGCTGAAACAGAGAAATGTGATGCATGTTGCTGCTGAGTACAGAGGAGAGAATCTGTCATATTGTAAAATACTAATTGCCAAGTGGATTTTATTTTCAGTTCTGTCATTGTTTTTTGTTTTAGGTCCTTTTTAATATGATTGTGGAAGTGCCTCGTTGGACGAATGCAAAAATGGAGGTAATTTTAAAAAGTACCATGATTACATAGGTATGAAAGTCATGATGATGTGGTGGCTTCCAGTAGTCAGAGTTTAATCAGAGTGTGGATTACTCTTTATGCATAAAATTTTCTCTGTTAAAAAGATAATTTAAAATTGTGCATAGACACTTTCCTTGCAAAAGAAAGTGTTGAGGTTCTAATTTTGTTCCCTTCCACAGGTGAACACTGCTTCTTGCTACCCTTTGGACCTCAGATCGCAGTGTACCTGCACCAGAGTTATAGAGTACTGGCTTGCAGGACATTGTTCAACATTTAGTCTTACTCTTGCTTGCTCATACAGCCTTCCACTCAGAGAATTTAATTCTTCTCATATCTGCTGTGCAGTGTGCTAGGCCAAATTATGACAAATGGAGTTGCAAATGGAAAAGCATTTCCTTGTGACAAAAAAAATATTTAGGAACCTCACTAATTGAAAGTATCTATTCCTGCAGGGAGATGTTCTAAAAGTAGAGCCTAGTGGGTTGTTCCTCTGCGGTTAAAATATAGAAGCTGAGTAATGCTTCATCTCTAGTGTTCATAGGGCATATCCTGGTGAGATCTGTTGTTTTATCTTCCTGAACATTTGTATTAATTTTAGGGATGCTTCCTGGATGCTTTTAAGGAAGTTTGTGGTTGAGCTGTTAACTACTTTGATTATTAAAAATAACACCAAAGAACCTCCCCAGCCTGTTATTTCAGAATTTTTTTTTTCTCCTTTCCCTAATGCTGGAAAATAATTTTAATTTTGTTTACCACCATAGTTGTTATTCTGCAAGCAGGCTTACCTTGGATATTGACCTTGTATTTTAAGATGATGATTTATTGTGGGAGCTGAGTTCTCCTTTGCAGAGTTTCCCTCTGACAATGCTATTTGAGCTCTTTGCGTAAAGGTCAGGTTGCTCTCCTTCCCCTTCTCCTGGCACGTTATGTCAAGCGTAGAAAAGTTTGCTGTCCTGTTAGGTTCAGAAATCAGTGAGTTTAGATTTTCTGGCTTGATAGAGGAGACCAGATGTAATTCTCTGATCTGTAGCTTTTAATATACTTGAAATTTCCTGCCTTCATTGTTAAGGCAGTTGTCTTTCCTTGCCGTCACGTCCTGGCAGTCCTTCAGTCCGGACTGTGGTAAGGTGCTAATACCAGATCTCGTCTGCACCTCCGTGCTGAGATTCCCTCACGTGGAATGGAGAATGTAGGAAATCAAACGTAGCCTTAGGATGAATGTTTCCCACTGTTACATCACCAGTTCCTGATCTCCTGCTCATCAGTTTGTTTTTCTGTTGTTCTTACCTTGATTTTACCAAAGGTGCTTTTCATGAGACTTTTTTCTGCAGTTGTCAGCTACTGCTCTTTGTCCTGGTTTACATCAAGAAAAGGCATTGCTGACCTCCACTTCTGTCAGAGTCCCAGGTGTCATATTCACTGTTAAGTTATGACCAGAAGCAGGTAGAATCAAGCATGAAACAAGAAATGAGTGAACCTTGATCTCAGCTCTTGAGGAGGGTGTACTTGTGGAATAAGTGCATGCTATTGGCAGTTTGGTGGGGTTTGAAAAGGTGCAATTCCTTGGGGATGGCTTTGGTGGTGGTGCTTTAGGTAAATTACAGGGATGTTGTAAAATGAATATGGACTAAGGGCTGTGTATCACCTGAGCCAGTGTAACCATCTGAGCCTGTAACAAATGCGATGCCATTCAGATGAGTGTTTGTAAGCAAGAGCCAAGCTAATGCAGATTGGGTTGTGGTGTGGAGTGTCAAAAGGGTAGTTAGAGTCAATTAGCTGATGGTTGGTAGGTAACTTATATGGCAGTGGGTTAGTATTCAAGGTTTTGGGGCGGATAATAACAATAATAAACTGTTCAGCTTTAATTAGTTCAGTCCTAGCTTAGCTTGTTCCAAATCTGTGTTAAGTTGGTGTTTGGTGACTATGCAGAACTTGAGCTTACTAGAAGGCTTTCGTATGCTGAGAGGCGATGGAGGGAAGGGAGGAGAGCAATGAACAGAGGGGGAGAAGAAAATGAAACATTTCCTCTGTTACTGTCACAATCCCTGTTGTCAGAAGAACTTTTGCCACCATTTGCATGTCTGTTGAACTTTTACTATAAAGTGCAAGAGCTTCTAACTTAGATTCCTTTCAGTATTTATGTTTGACCATGACAATCTCTTTGTAAATGTATGACTTTCTATTCTAGATAAATTTTTTTCCTTGCATACTTCACAACATTATTTAAAACCTTAATAAGCTGCTTTTTGAACGTGACCCTTGAGATTTAGAGTGAGGCCGTTGTACTTTTAATACTTCTCAAACCACAAGTACATGCTCCCAGATGTCTTTTTCTAACTGGTTGGGTACAGAAGGACTTGCTTTCCATTTTACCATTCTCTCTTTCTCTCTGTGTGTCTCTTTTTTTTTTTTTTTCCTCCCCATTATCTGCTTAGATTGCCACTGAGGAGCCGTTGAATCCCATTAAACAAGATATAAAGAAAGGCAAGCTTCGATACGTTGCAAATATCTTTCCTCACAAGGGTTATATTTGGAATTATGGTGCCCTCCCACAGGTAACATTTTTGTTATAATGGTGAAAGTTTTCTGTCTTCTGTGTAAATTGCCTTGTAAATCTTGGGTACTGCCTGAATGCAAATCAGTTGCAAGAGGGATGTTTCTCTTTGATGCATTTGTAAATTAGGATTTTTTTTATGGTGAGCTTTATCGTGTCCATAAATTTTGATCAGAATTTGGATGTGGGTATAAATATGTGCTATGTTTCAGGAAGGAGTTAAATGATCAAGAACTCTCGAATCTTTAGTCTGCATATCTGTAGTGACAGAATTAAACTGTCGTGGTCTGCTATTCAAGAATACTTTGTCACGTTGCCCTTTTCTGCTTAAACAAGGCATTTTTAAAAAAACTAATTTATGATTTGCATGTTTTGCAGCATAAATTTTAATTGGGATTTCTTAATATCTTTAACAAAGAGAAACACAAGGGCTGTTCTTTAGATTAAACCTCAACTGCCTTAGTTAACTTTTCTCTGAACTGTAAGACTGTACTGATCATGACACATTCAAAATTTTGAGCCTTGAAAAAGCCCAACTACTGGCTGAAATTTTGAGCATAATGAGAAGTTTTAAACTTTCTTAATTTCTGTTAGTAACACATTGGACTTAAATTAGTACTGAAGAACATGATGGAGCTAGAAGAGAGTAATTTATTTTCATTACATTTAGCTGCATAAGCAGTGAAAGTTTACTTCTGAAAATCTGATTATGTATTTGATCCCTGAAGAGGAGATACCAGGCAGGTGCTGGAGCATAGCAACCAAGTTCTTACCCAGTCAGCAGTCTCAGTAGACAAGTTCCCAAGTAGCTATAGTTGGGAAGCAGTTCCATTTAATGTTTTGAAATTCATGTGTGCCTTAGTACAAAGCCAAAATTAAACATTTGAATATTTTCCTGCACAAAGTGCATTATTTTGGGCCTGAATAACACTTTCCCCAGGAGAAATGTTTAGCTCCCCTTCTTACCTTGTGGGTCAGAGGGGGCTGGAGATAATTGTAATTTTTATTTTCTGTAGTAACTTTAAATTTCCAGTTGGATCATTACACCTCCAGTTGTGGAAGTCTACTCCAGGTCCCTACGAACAGCTGTAACAAACAAAGTCCAATTCAGTGTCTCTGTCACAAGAGGACTTTTGATCAGGATCAGCAGTTGCCAGAAGTTCAGCCCTAGTATATGGCTTAAAGATCTGTATTTATGTGTGCTCTTTAATGCTGTGGAACAGAGAAGGAGAAAAAAATGACAGTAGGACTATCATTATTGCAGAGTTGCTGTACTGTCCAGAGAACAATACCATTCCTAGTGAGCTTTCCTTCTAACCTACAGATGGAGGGGTGCAGCTGGGCAGGAGAATGGTACTGGTACAATGCAGCCTTAAATAAAAAGCACTCTGGATGAGTATGGAAAAATAAGTTTAAATTCTCTCTTAACTCCACTTAAGCAATTTTTTGGTAATGATTCTGCTACCTAAACACCTGAGCATTTACTTTTCACCATTCTGCCTTTTAGTATCAGTCAAGTTCTCAAATCAAGTTTGAGATGGAGGTTTGATTGTGGACAGCAGGAGCTAACAGTATAGCTCCTTGGAAACAAAGTTTTATAACATCTTTTCAACAAAACTTCATTGGACTCAAAATTCTTACCAGGAAAACTTCTCAACTTTAGAATGAGTTACTCATTACTAACCTGTAGGAGACAAAACAAGTACTAGTCTAGTACTTAAGTGAGTATAACTTGGCTATGATTACTTGCTTGTACAGAGCTCAGAGCAGAGATTTGAACTTCCCTCCTGGAGAAGCTTCTTCAGCCTTAAGCTGTTGGCTGTTCTTGGGAATGTACAAACCTCAAAATACTCAAATATTTCATACCTAAATCCAAAAATTTTAAAAAGCTAATTGGGTGCTGACAAATCCATATCTAGGGAGTTTGGTTAGCTCAAAGCATAGATGTTTTTGAAAGCAACTTCAGTTAGTGCCATGGTATTTAAAGAGTAAAATAAGAATGTTATTGTAGGATGTCCTAGCTTAATCCCACAACCACTAGCAACCAGAAAAATACATAATGCAGGGTCCTCGGATGTGTTAATCACTGCAGTTTGACAGTGTGTCTGTTGAGTCACAGATGCAGTTAGTATTTTAGTTACTATGTCCTCAGTAATCCTCATGTTACTTCTCCTGAGTATGAGGATGAGTTACTCAATGTCATTGTGTTGGCTGTTTTGTTTGTTTTTTCTTTTCCCATTGAGCAAGCCTGTTCCCAGAAAGCTGATGGTTTTTATTGGTGTTTTTATTAGTCTTAGTAATTTAGTGGTTAGATGAATTGCAATTGCAGATCAGCCAGTAACTGATAATTCTCTTTCCTTTGACAGACCTGGGAAGATCCAAACCGTACAGATAAGACAACAGGATGTTGTGGGGATAATGATCCTATTGATGTTTGTGAAATTGGTTCAAAGGTGTGTCTTTATCAGGATTAATGTAATTTATCAAGGTTAATTTAATAATTTGGTAACAGCTTTTGGAAGAAGAGGGCAGAAAACAGGAAAAGATGATCTCAGAGGATGACAAAAAATATGAATAGAGGATCTGCAGAAGGAATAGGTAAGGAATGGGATTTTTTAAAAGGAGAAAAAAGCAGGATTTGGTAAAGTTGGTGTACTGGATAAAAGGGAAAAGAAGATAACACCACCTCAAAGTTCTGTGGCTGGACAGTGAGTTTTGGGTGAAGGAGGAGGGCGTTAAGATTCTTGGGGAAGGAAAAGATTTCTTTCTCTTTCCCCTGTTAGCAGTACTGGAGCTAGGAATAGGTTTCTGAAAGATGAACAAGTATGGCAGCATCATGCACATAAAATTACAAGGTCAGACCCACAGAGGAGGTAGGTTTGAGATTTCTCATGTGTGCAAATGGGAGTAGATCCCTCTTCTCTAGAGGAGAAGACAGGAACCTGTTGCATTGTTGCAGAGTGATGAGATATGGAGTGGGTGGATGAAAAAGGTGCAGCAAACGCCATTAGTTAGATACGGGGGAATGGTTTAGCTCACTGAAAGAAAATTCTACATATCTGGAGGTAGTAAAGAATGGAGCAGTCCTCCATGGTATCAAAGACTGGGTTATGAAACAAATGAGTTTGGAAGAGGGATTTCTTCAGATATTTTAGGTAAGGGGAAAATTAATTGGTGACCTCAATGAAGATAGCTTTATTTGAGGAAAGGAACCTAAAACTGAATTTTAAGGGATCCAGAAAGAGTTATCAAGGGAATATTAGCTGGTGGGGAGAAGGTTCCCAAGAAAATGCAAAGGAGAGTTGTGCTGATATTTCTGGGGAAGAGGTGTGTGTTTATTTGTGTGTATTGGAGTCTAGAGGAAAGAACAGTAAGAGATAGATTGAGACCAAGGGTTGAGAAAGTAGAAAGTCAAGAGGTAGGAAGAAGTTAAAAAATGAGTATGAGATACTCTTAACTTACAGTTTGGGGTGAAGATCAAGAAGATGTGAGGGAGGTATGATAGAAGAGAAGGAAAAGCTTTCTAGCTTGTGTTGTCTAATTAAATACATGCTGGCTGGAGAATTGAGGGTTGAAGAACAGCAGTGGTGGGAGAAAGGCTAGTAATGTTAATAGATGTGTACTGGGTTTGTGGATCGATCTTGCAGTTCTGTTAACTGCTGTTCAAAAATGTAGTAAAACTATTTTGTAAGGTAAAAGATAAATTCTGTGTAGTGTTTTCCAAATCTTTGTGAGATTATGTTCTGTTTCAGATTCGTTCTTCTGGTGAGATTGTTCAGGTGAAGGTCTTGGGTGCTTTAGCTCTTGTCGATGAAGGAGAGACAGATTGGAAGATAATTGCTATTAGTGTGGATGACCCAGAAGCTCAGAAAATCCATGGCAAGTATTTTTGTCTTTCTTAATGCAAATTATGTCAGCAGCTTGCGCAGTAGAATGGTACCTGAGTTTAGGCTGCCCAGGACAAGAAGAGGCAGACAGTTGAAAGGCAAGACTTCTTTTTTTTTTCTTTGTTGTTTAAGTCAGGTGCTTCCATCAAGGAGTGTGTATGTGCTTTCACACTAAGCTTTTGAAAAGGTTCACTTGGATTTTCAAGAGGACCTGTCATGCGAAAAGTCTGAAACACAACTGCCTTAGAAAGTGACCTCTTAAAATTACAGGCTTATCTCCTGTGTAATAGTACATATTTACCTACTCGGATTATGTAGCCCACTGCTATTTTCCTCGTTGAAAGTGTTTGTTCCTTTTATATTTGCAGGCATTGTGCTGCCTTCTGAAAAGGGCTGTACATTTCCAATGTTTTGTCACTTGTAACTGGGTTACTTCCAGGGTTTGTTGCCTAGGATTAGGTTTCACCTTTTAGCTAGAAAAATTTGTGAAGTAAACTACTAATGCAGCTCCCTAGTATTAACCTTGATGATGACTAGCTGTGCGGGGGCGAAACATCTTGTCCAGACTTGTCCTCCTTGTGACCATGGTTCTGGTATCCACATGGGATTTAAGTACTAAAATGTGTCTATATGAATAACGAGTGAGGTGTAATTCTGCTTGCAGACTGTTCATTAAGAAGATGATGCAGATGTGTTGAACCTGCAGGGAGTTAGGTTTTTATGGCACAGGTAAAGTGCAGCTTTTCTCTGGCTACATGGAGGTTTATTTCCTCAAATGCAATGTTTCTGGGAGTCATGAGAGTTAAGTGAGGAGGTTTGACTACAAGTTGGTGATGGTAATGAGACCAAAAACCGTATGTGCTATCAGGTATGTACGATAAAAGCCTACTCTCTGTTGATAGGGAGCACCATGGCACAGGATGACCTTTCTGTAGGAATAGGGCTATCCAGTAGCTTTTTAAGGAATTATGTTTCTCTGCCACTGGGGCTTTTTCCTGGTTTCTGAATGTAAAGTAAGTATATCACTGGAATGGCCCTTCATTCTCAGTTTTTTTGCAGGTTACTTTCACGTGGAGAATACTTGGCTTGTGGGGAAAGAAGGGGAGAAGAGGAAATGAGGAAAAGGAAACTCTTGGGTTGATGCTGATTAAAATCATTGGGCAGATGAATTACTACATAGTGTTTATGACTCTTTAACTACTTTCACAGTTAGAGATTAAGAAGTTCAGCTTAAGGAAATAGTAAGTAATAGTTTGCTGTTAATATTAGTATCAATTTAAACCTCTCTAATGTGCAGTAAAATGCTGTATAAGTGTCAGTAGTTAAAAGACAAGTAATTAGCACTTCATTTCTATACACTGTTCTGTTTAACTCTTACCTCTTTTTCCTTAATGATTTCTGAGAGAGTTTAATCAGAAAAGCAAGTGAGAGAACTTGAAAAGAGTCCACTAAGTAGGGTAAAACTGGGCCATTTTATGCCAGTTGGTTAAGTAACTCTATTTGAAAGCCTTCTGTTTTGTTTTTTTTCAGGTAATGACTGATTTGTGTCAGCTGTGTTACAGCTTTATTTTGTTTGGGAGGGGAGCAAGAGTTTTAGAAGGGCAAACCTGTAGTTGATTCCTGTGTGCATCTTTTCTTAGCAGAGAATAGATGCAAAACTGCAAGAAGAGAACTGTCCTTCTGAGGTTCAGAGAAGTGCAGAAATGTTTACCCAGTTCAGTATGATTTCCTTTTGGGACTGGAGTTGCAGTCCAGGATTTATAAAAGGAAAAAAAAAAAAAAAAAAAGCCCCCATCTGCTTTCACAAAACATGACTAGCTTGCAGTGTTTAACAGCAATCTTTCTTCAGTCTGAAAACAAACAAATCTGTTGGAGTAGGCAGTACAGTATGTCCTTTTATACTTGTTTTCCCCCTTCCCAAATATGTTAATTATTTCAGTATAAAGGGATAGCAGCTACAGGTAAAACTGGCATCTCCCTCAATAACGGATGTGCTGCTGTGTTACAGGGGTGACCTCCTAGGGAAGGGTGAAGCTAAGTGTTGCCTTCTAAGTCTGTCCAGTCATTTCTGTATCATTTGCTAAATATTTGAATTGGACTGAGAATCATCACATTTGCTTTCAGCTCAGTATGTGCACAGCCCCCACTGAACATTTGGAAAAGATAATTCCAAGACACCAGAATGGTGATTACTTGCAAACCCTGTTCTGAGCCCGTGCAGTGTGTTAACTCCTCTTGCTCCTCTAAGCACACCCCAGATACTCTGTATATTCTCCTTCTGGGATTGAGAGCATCCTCATAAATGCCATTGATTTTTCTGAGATTTCACAGAACTTACAACTGAGTGGTCCCAACTTCTGAGCAGTTCTCGTTGTTTATTCATAGTGCTCCACTGTAGTGTGTCCTGCAGGCATTTATTGATAAATACTGGTTTAAATTGGAAACCCTGCCTAGAACTCTCTTCTAGACAGAGCGATGAGAAACTGTAGTTTATAATGATGATACCCAAGAATGATGAGCATTGCTTAGCACCTATTCAAGAGGGAACTGTGTCATCAGTGGGAGTAACAGGGGTTTAGTGTCTTTTTGGACTGACTTTGAACGGTAATCTGTTTGAAATTATAGCACTTAATACTGGTGGGTATGGGGACAATCCCACTGCAAATACAAGCTGTATGTCAGATGCCTGTATTTGTGTGAGAAGATTTCTGTTAGACTAAAACTGGACATCTTCAAATTTGTCTTCAATAAGACCTCTCTTTGTAGCTACCTGAAAACCACTTCATTGTCTTTCTGCTCAGGCAGTTGCTACACAGATATACAGATATATCCATATATATATCTGGGTAGCCTAGATATATTCAACAGTGGTTGGTGATGTCTGTGGCCTTGTTGCACTGCCATTTCCTGGCACTGGTATAGTTAACTGTGCTATGTTGCCATGCTCCTTTTTCCAATGTGCAACCCAAGACTGGCTTTTTGAATTAAGCAATCAAACCCTAAATGGGAAAAACAAAGCATATTGCATTCTTTGTACCATATATTGTTACAGCCCCTTGCATGTGAGTGTATTTATATGCAGAGCAGCAGCAGAGGCCCTGAAAACCTTTGTTGTGGATTTGTGTAAGCATTCAATATAAATAAATTAATTATCTGTACTGAGGCTCCCCTCCTACCCCCTCACATCAGGCTGCACAAAATACACCAAATGCCTTTATATGGAATGTAGCTGCTGCTTCCTGTAAATGTTTATAAGATGTTATTAAAAACATATGTCCTCTCTTCCCACAGACCTTGTTTAGAAAGCTTGCTGCAAGCATGTTGTTTTAGCTTTGCTTGCAAGAAGCAGCATCTGTTGTACTAAAAATGGTAGTTTTGTACAAATGCTTTTGTTGCTTTCTTTTCTAAAGCCAGATAGAATTGGCCTTTGCATTGGCTCGCTCCCTTAACATAGAGCTAGCAGCAGTTGTTTGTGCCAGCCTCTAGAGAGTTTCCTTATTGAGACTAAACTGCAACCCTTAATGTGATTAGCCATCTCTTTTTAACCCTTGGTGCTTTACTTTGGTGCCCAGAAAAATGGGACCTGTGGTTGTATGTAGGCAGTATAAAGAAATCACCAGCTAGAGCCCAGTGGGTACGTGCTGATAATGTACCTGCAGGAGCCTGACCTTTCTGCTCTGTCACTCTGAGCAGGGCTTGCTTGCAGAGTTGAAACCATGTTGGGCCAGGTACGTGATTGATACTTGCTCAACTCCCTTTAGACATCGGTGTGAGTACACAGCTCTAAGGGAAGGTAAGCAGTCGGAGTCAGAAAGAGGCGTCTAACAGCGTCTCTTGCAGAAAACACATCCATCTTCTTTTTTTTAATCATAATATGCAGCGAGCTTCTATAGATATTAGTGCAATAAATCACTGTACTGCTTATTGTGATCTTTTACCTTTCTTTTCTTCTGTTTTCTGAGTATATTTTTCTTCTTTTCACCCTGATGTCCCAAAGATGCTGTTTGGATTTCAAAGTGGAGGACAAGCTATCTTTCAAACTTTTCTATGGCATCTTTTAATGAACTGAAGAGGTAGCTGTTGAGTGATGCGAGAGCTGCTGTTTTCCTTATATTTTGTGCTGCGTGCCGACTCCACAGAACAGGATTGATTTTGCCACCAACTCCCATTGGCATTTGTTTTGGTTTTGGTTGCTTGTTGTTTTGTTTGGGTTTTTTTTTTTTCCAACCATTTAAGCTTCATTTGGTGCCCCATAGCTGTCCTTCCTAATAACAAACAGTGAAGTGAAGCATGAGAATGAAGGAGAATAACTTGCAAGGAACCAAGGAAATAAAAGCAACAACTGTCTTCCCTTTCAAGTCCTTGAAAACAGAATATGTAGCAGCCAGTACTTTATAATGCTGTAGCCTGGTTCTGTGTAGTCATTTTACCTAGGCAATGCATTTTCCAGTAGAGAGAGTGTGAAATTCAGAGAGATGATTCTATCCATGAAGATGGTCATTCCTGTCTTAAGGATGTAATGAAAACCTGCCCCAAAGCCTATTCTAATATGAGACACATATAAAGAAATATAAACAAAGCCTATAAATAAGGAAACAACAGATGAGGAAGGGCTCTCAAGTGTCAGTAGAAAATGAAGCACTTTCGATGAACAGTTTTTATGGGAATAGGAGGCAAATAACCAAGCAGGAAGAATGGCGAACTAGCATTAGGAGAGAAGTTTGCTGGAACGGGAACCGGAAAAAAGGAGCAGCAGTCTGAGGCAGTATGCTTGAATTTAGGCAGTGTCTGGAGATGGAGACCTGGAGGTCATCTACTGCTGGGAGCCAAGGAAATTGCTGCAGCAGCTTGGTTTGCTTTACAGACTTGAGGAGATACCGTCTCTTAAACAAGTACTAGAAATTGTAAGTTCAAACCTCACAAGAGGAGGAGATGACAAGGACTCAAGATGGAAGGAGGGATGTTCCCTTGCTTGGAGAGAACAGAATGATACACTGCAGCCCTCAAATTGGTTTGAATTAGAGCTGCACTTTTATTAGTGCCCATCCTGCCTCCAACCAAGACCCCACCCTTTCCTAAATCATTCCTTCTTGGTTGGTCTCACCCACCCACCCCAGTGAAAAGCTTCTTGTACTTTTAAACGTATTCCAGCTAGAAGACCTGCCTCCAGCACAGCCTTATGTGCCCTTGCTTTTTTCTGGGATTCTGCCAGTGAAACTCCCTAATCTTCTACAGGCAGATGGCCAGCAGCCAAGCTCAGAGTGTGTTTTACTCCGAGTCCATAAACACGTAGCTCTATTAAGTGTGTGCAGAAGCAAAAATTTACATAGGGTTCTTCAAAGTTTTATGTTTTATTCTTTGGGTAGTGTGTGTGATCCAGTGGAATTAGGGAGTGGCATCTATCAGATTCCTGTGAGCACTCAGCATATCTTCTCACATAGGTTTGGTCTCACAGTTCAGACCACATGTCATCTCTCTTGGTGGTCTGCAGAGAATTGAATGGTCTGTAGCACAAGACTTTTTCCCTTCTCTTACTGTTCTCTTTAGAAATACTTTAGTGTCTGTGTTCAGGTCCACAGACTAGATTTTAAAAAGACATTTAGGCACTTAAAGGTTGAAAGCACATGACTGGGTGTCAATTCCATGGACTAAGCAGCTCTGAAAATCTGTTGTATAGGAGTGTGGCGGTTTAACCCACAGGTAAGACCATGTGGTCCTGCACTCGCTCCCTCCTACCCAGTGAGTTGGGAAGGGAATCACAACGAAGGGGCACGGATTAGAATGAGGACAGGGACAGGTCACTCACCGGTTATGATCATGGGCAAAAAAGACTCAATTTGGGGAAGAAAAATCAATTTAATTCATTAGCAATCATTTGAGTAGCACAGTGAGACAAAACAACCACATTTTTAAGACACCTTGCCCCACCCCTCCCTTCTTCCTGGGCTCAAATCACTTTGTTCC